ATATATAAACTAAATTCCTATATATAGAATAGATCCTAGGCTACTACTAACCCTATCCAATATAAGTGTAAACTAATATGAAAAGTAGTTATAAAATAAAAGCACCAAGTTCTCAGAAATCCCTGTTGCTAGCGTTGCAAGCAGGGAATCTGTTGAAGATCAGAGTTTCCAGCCTCGTGGTCTGATGCAGAGGTGCTAGAGAACACCAGGAGCTCAGAAACTGACCCCAAGGCAGAAAGCAGGGGAGCTGAGAAACTGCTGCCCTTTATGCATTTTCTCTGGTCCTCTCCCAGAGCACTGAGATTGGAAGGGACCTCAGAGAGTGCTGACAGGTCACTGGCCAGCCACACATGTCAGTCATGGAAGTACTCCTTCCCCCTCTCCCTCTCCCTCCCCTTACTTTCCTTTTTTTTTCTCCCCCACAGGGAATCCAGTATAGGCAAGTCGAATATTTGACCCGTGCTGTTAATATTTGACTAGTGCTGTTAATATTCGACTTCCAGTATTCAATTCAACAGCTATTCGACCAGCTGCTATTCGACACGACTTTCACTTTTCAAGGTTGACCATGTCGAATATTTGTCGAATCGAATATTAAGTTGAAGCTTTGCACAGCCCTAGTGTTTATACATGTGCCTGGGACCACAGCACATTGAGCTGGGGTGGAGCAGCCCCAGCTGGCAGGAAACACTGGGGGTCAGCCTGCCAGCCTGGAGCTGCTTCAACCCGGCTCAACATGCTGTGGAGGGGCTGGCTGGGACATGAGGGTGCTCCAGTGTGGGGCTAGCCAGCAGGCAAAGGCTTTAAGGCAGAGGTAATTAGTCAACTCTGCAGTAAATGTCTCATGTAGACGTGCCCACTGAGACCCAACTGGATAGGTAAGGCTCATTATACAGTGAGGCTGCACCGTTGTGATGGTGCAGCGCTGACTCTACAGTGGGCACGTCTACACATGCATTAATGCACCATAATTACAGTGTATTGTTTAGTACCTATAATAACAGGTACTAACTTAATGCACTCTAGTTGGTGCATGTCTTTTATGTGATGCTAATATTCAGTAGATTAATTCTACTGCATATTATTGCATTAGCACAGCTTTTGCTGTGACATGCTAATGCGCAGTAGAATTAGTCTACTGAGCTTTTAGCGTCTCTTGTAGATGCCCAGTAAGTTACTCTTCATGAACTCCCCCTGAGGGAACACAGTGCCTTCACGCCAGATAGCTCATTTCATTTTGAAGTGTGGAATGATTGGGCCTATTCAGAGAATTAGTGTGAGCAGCTAGTGCCCTGTAAATTTGAACTAATTTACAATGCATTAACTTCCCTATACAGACATGTCCTAACTTATCCTTTGAGCAGGGTTTTAGGTATGGGCTTTGGACCGAAGCAGTGTTCTGAACTGCCATAACATGCTCCGGGATTGACCAAATCCTTAAAGTACCATCTTAGATGGCTCAGTTTCTCATGCGCAAATATGCATGCCAAAGTTTGCTGCTGCTTTTGACTGTCTCTGAGTTTTGTGTAATGCATTCTTGAGAAGCAGGGAAAATGCCTGAAATCAGAGTATGGCTCTAGTGGACACTACAGTGTGTGGGGCAGTGGGTAGGGCAGTGGGGGAGAGGTGTCCTGGTATAACTCTGGCAGCAGGAATACTCCTTTGACTGGTACAGCTGCATCAGTAATATGGGTCCAGCCACCTAAGTGCTGCCATCATGCATAAAGCAGATGCAGCCCTTGTCATGAGACACAGCCTGAGTCTAGCTAGGCTTCTGGGAACATTTAGTTCACATGGGACAGGCAGAGTTTTTTACCCATGTGTTAGCACTGTCACTGTTCTGCTAACACTAGTTCATCATATTAGCAGTCACTCCAAGCCTGGTAGTTTATTTGTCTAGTATATAATAGATACCTGTAGCCTATAGAAACACAGTCTGTGTTTCCCCCAAAGGGATTGTTGTAGAAAAGTTATTTTCTCATTTCAGCAGCTCCTTGTTTATGTGTTTACTGCCCCAAGATGTTGTTAAACCAGCATGAAGACAGACCAGCCTCATCTGGTCTTCTTCCAGAACTCTGTGCCCCCCTATTTTGAAATCTAAAAAGTAGGAATTAAAGAAGTACAGTATGCACAACTCCTCACTGAAATGATTGTAACTCTGCCCCTGGCTCTCACAAGAACAAACATGTTTCAGCCGGGGTTACCTAATGACATTTCTGGGCAGTGAATCTTCCTTGTTGCAGAGCAATAGTAGGAGAAAATCTTCCATCTCACTGTCATGGGAGTGTGATCTTCTGTGGTCTCATTAGCCAACTCCCCCTGTCCCCTACATGACGTGTTGGGCTGTGTATTAAAGGAGAAGACTGAGTGCTTCTTTAGTCTTAAAAGCTGACTATTTCTTTCCAGACTGTTTATGCAATTTTTCACCTTAGTATGTAATGCTTGAGTGAAATTCTGGCTTCATCAAAGTCACTAGAAAAACTCCCATTGACTTCTGCTGAAAGAAGGTTTTGCCCATTATTTAACTCCTAGACTTTCCCCCTGCCAGGCTGCGTGGTTCTGAGACTCCATTTTTCTTGTGCCTTGCACTTTGAACACATGACACAAACTTAGTGTAAAATAATTACACAAAACTCAAAGCAATGGGGAATCAGCCCCCTTGAGAACTCCCGTTTCAAGCTCACTGAAATAAACCTTTGTTCATCTGTCCACTTGTCACTTTTATTCTGAAAATACTCTAGGAAAGCAAATGCTCCTACTGCATTTCAAGAAAGGACACACAGAACTCCAGTAGGCTGTTATATTTAATTGAAGTCCTATACAGTTGTAAAAGGTTAGGCATGCAATGTACCATACAAAATGGGTTCAAAAGGCTTATTTCTTATGAATTGTCCAAATACATTTTTCTATAAAGCAGTTTCTTGGTCACATAAAATATAAACAAGGGAAGTCTCACAGAGAGCACCCTACTCAGATTATTATCCCCAGTAATAAAATGCATTATCAGAACGCCTGCTTGACCCCTGGCAGCTACTTTCCCAGTCTCCAGTTTTCTGTGTCAGGTAATCAAATTGCCAGGCGAGAGCATTTAACCCGGCAGCATGATCAATTATGGCACATCTTCATATCATCTGCTTGTAAATTCCTTGAGCACTGCAGTTTGTCTAGCAAGAAAGTCTTGACTCATTCCCCAAAGGCGAGGTAAGAAAATGACATCACCAAGGCAGTAATCAGAATTTTATCACTAGTCTTTCCAGCTGTAGAGCAGGTTATATACACTTCCATTATCAGTTCATAAAAATGGCAGTATAGCAGTGTAACCATTACAAAACTAACCTGCCACATAGAGTTAAAAATGCCTCTATATACAGCAGTTCTTGGTTAATACTACTAGAAGTGATATTAGAAAATGCATCTTTTTGCTTTCACTAGACAGTTCTATGCTGTAACATCTTCAGTATGACAAGAGTGCTTTAGATATAGGTTCTGGACAAAACAGAGAAAGATATATATATATATATAGATATATAGTTGTTACAAAACTATATATATATTGTTGTTACAAAACAAACATAATACTAAATTGTTTCTCATGTAGGAAGCTTGCTCTCTTAATACTGGCACATGTAACTAAGCAGGATCTTTACTAAGAACAAACAAGATACATGCCAGTCTTTGTTCATCCAGAGTTGGAATAAAGATGTCCTCACACAGTTTCCCGTTTTGCTATTTCTTAATTACTTTTCATGTTCTAATCATACATCTGATAATGCTGCTTTGATTTATTTTCCTCTCCCTCCCTTCTCATATTACGGTCAGATTTCCATCTGCTGCTATGTCCTGAAAGTCTGACCAAATTGAGCCTATAATTAACATAACTGGTTTGGGGCCCGGACCTACCAGCTGATATTCTATCTCTCAGCAGGAGGAAGAGCTTGTTCATGCTCTATTTTCAGTGCACAATAAGGAGGATTAGTACTATTTCCATTGGCTACCCTGCCTAAATCAGTGCATGCGTGTTTCCTCAAGCAGCAGCAAACTGGGATGTGTTGGTGGAGACAATGGACGTAAAGACAAAACCCTAGATACTTTCCACCTTGTCATGGAACTCCAAGTTGCTGTGGCCAACAACAACAAGTAACTGGCCATCAGAGTTAGCTTTGCTGGGTAAGCACTGAGAAGATGTGTTAAAATTGCACTGCTACATGCAAATGGGGTAATGCCTAAAGAAAACATGAAGAAACTTGAAGGCTTACTCAGATGGAAAGATAAAAATAGAAGGCTGTGCCTCTACCTAGTTACAGACAATTTACATCCTAATAAGGAATTTTAGGGAAATACCAGGTTTCCTCTGCATACACATTTTTCACTGAGATAGGTTCAGTGCTATGGTTTTATGTAATGCTTGCTGCCAACATTGTGAATTGAAAGAAAATGCTGTCATCCCTTTAGGAATTAGTGGAAGAGGTTTTATGGTGAAGATTTATGTGAGATGCATAAAAAGAAAGGAGCTACACCAGCAGACAGGGAGTGTACATCCTGCTGTATTTCATGCATGAAGTGCTAAAGTAGTTGTCCTGGGCCATACAACATGTAATGAGATACAGCAACAACTTTGCTTGTTCTTTAGTCAATACACATCACTAAAACAGCACTCAAAGGCAGTCCCATCATTTGGTAAAAATGTCTTTATCAAATGCCAGAAATCACCTAACAGAAGCTCCCATTATCAGTGCCATCCAGCTTCCCACCTGCATGGAAAAATCTGCCAAGTCTGGACAAAGAAAACTCTTTTGAGCATTGCCTCCTTGTGTTTTCTCTAGGTTATTACATGGAAAGATGAAGTTCACCTTCTCATTTCTTTCAGGTAATGCCCACCACAACACCAAAGTGCATTTGGAGAAGTTCAGCCATGAAGAAGTGCCACACTAGGTCAGACCAATGGTCCATCTAGTCCAGTATCGCACCTCTGACAGGGGCATGCAGTAAATGCTTTAGAGGTAGACTGTATGTACATGCATGTCTAGTGTAATCCATACCCCTCCCTGGCATCAACCAGCATTGGTTTAGAGATGTCAGAGGATACAACTCAATGGTCTGGCCCTCCATTACTTTATCTACTTCCTTGTAGAACCTGCCATATCTTGCTTCACCACTGGCTGAACCTAGCAACCCCATTCCATGTCAAGGCAGTTCTGTAGTGCAGGGAAAACCTGCTTAAAAGTCAATGTGTATCCAGAGATTCCTAGTAAGGTTTGAGCCTTGCAACTGTGTGCACCTCTGCTCCCTGCCCCTGGCTATCCCTGTCCTCCCCTTTCCCCAAACATGGAGTGGCAGACCCATTAGTCACCAACCATGACTACAAGGACTGCTAAGAGGGAGAAACAAGTACCTTTCTATGAATTCAACTGCCCCTCCGCCACCTTCTTCCATCCCCAGTACAGCAAGGAGAATTCCTAAAACTATCAAACTCAACCCTCTATCCTTAACACTAGTTTCTTCATTACAGATGTCAGCGTGCTAGGAGTGCATTGATCTCCCTTGGCCCCAAAAACCCTTCCCAAAGCAAGATGCTGATAAGCCTGTCACTTGCAAAGCACTTACATTCCACTGTCTTCTTTAGGCTACTGTCAGAACAGCAGCAAGCCTTGGAAAAACTCCTGCTGCCAGGGTCAGGCTCTTACTTCATGGATAAGGGAGAACTCAGCACACAAATGAATTTTAAGAATAGCAGCAGTGACAGTTTAATGTGAGGGCTGACAGCTTTTGCAACCAAATTACACATTGGGTTTTCTTTTTTCATTGAGCCTGGAAATATTAGTCATTGTTTTCTGACAGCTCACCTAAAGTTGGAAAAAGGGGGAATTCTGATGTCCGGGGAATTATTTTAAAGCTGCTGTTTTCCTAGGCTCTTTCACACAAACTTTTACCACCAGGTAACACAATTCCGTCACATTCAGCAGCATGCAAACAGCAGACACAACAAGCATGAAAATAGTAAACATGGTTTTCTCAGTGGGTCGAGAGACAAAGCAATCCACTGTGTTTGGACAGGGCCAAGCACTACATTTCAGTAAGCGTGGCATTTGGTACCCATCATACATAAAGTAAAATGCATACATGAAGATGGCTTCAAAGAGGACTCTGAAGAAGATGCTGCTAGTGTATGTCCACCACAAGGGCCCCTTAATATGAAATCTTGTTCTTTTCAGCTCTTCAATATCAAACTTCTCCCCATTTCTTAACTGCTTCTTCTTCTCATGGCGTCTGTAGGCAACATGCATCGCCACCAAAAGTGCAGGCGTCGAGACAAAGATCAGTTGAAGGGCCCAGAGTCTGATGTGGGAGATGGGGAAAAAGTGGTCATAGCAAACATTTTTGCATCCAGGCTGCAGAGTATTGCAGATAAAATCTTGCTGTTCATCGCCCCAGACCTTCTCAGCAGCTACTACAAGGATCATGATACGAAAAATGAACAGGACAGTGAGCCAGATCTTTCCGATACTGGTGGAGTGTTTATTCACACCTCCCAACACGGCATGCAGTGATCCCCAGTCCATCTTTGCTTCTGTCTCCTTGGACCTAAGAAAGCAAGAGAAATGCATCAAATCATTTTTCAAGAGCTAAAAACCCAAAGATCGTAACTTCTTTGAAGTAGGAGGTTTACTAGCATCTGCCAGTGTAAGCAAACAAGTTATTTTAATTCCCTTCCTCCATATTGTTAAAAGAACATGAATCAAACACTTTATTGAATTCACACATTCTCATCACTTATGCTGGTGCCAGTATAATCTGATACATTTCTTTATGAGTTAAGATCAAAGAGAGAACGCTCTGTCTCTCTCCCATAGTCTCTTCTCTTTCTCTTACCCTTTCTACTCTGGAAGGAGCCCACAATCGTTTGCTTTTCTCTCTCCAACCTTCCCACAGAGCCAGGGAAGAGATAAGAGAACCTGGCAGGACCCCTCCAGGATTTACAGTACTTTTCTGTATTACTGGAAGGACAGGGGAATCGTAAGGCTGACCCAATCCCTACCCATCCGCATTGCCTCCATCCACAGTGGAGAAACATATTCTAGGAGCATAATGCTTATGCTAAATTAATTCTCATTAATGAGTTAATGTTCACATTGTATATATGCTATATGCTATTGGTCTTTGGAGCTAATACCCCAGGGAGATAAATTGGAGTAAGTCAAAGCCTCAACAGTGTTGTTCCAGCAGATGCAGCAACTGCTACTCTTCTTTCCATGTGGAAGGTTTTCTTCTTTACAACTAGATAGAAACTTTTATTTATCTAGGATAGATGCTTAAGTTCTTCTGAAGCTGATATTCAGCTGCAAGACCCCACTCATTTACTGAACAGAGTTGTTCGAAATTATTGAGGAACAAGATAAAGTACTGGAAACTACAGTGAACTCCTGGAAGGGCTGGTTCATCATCCTTTAAAAATAATGCTAAGCCTTGCTGTGTGGGAGACTCAAGCAGGCCATGGATAAAAGCTTGTTGGAACATGCTGTTGCTTCTCCTTCCTTCGTAACATCATACCCTATAGCACCCAGCAATTACTGAGCTTCTCTTCCCCCAGCGTGGTTATCTGTCCACTACATGCAAGTTGACTGTGCTGAAGGATGATGTTGCAATACTGTGGTCTCCTGAACATGTTGTAACATGGTCTAGTGAGGTCTACACAGGCAATTAGAGCTAACTGGGATTTTTTTCTATGAATTTCTTTTTAACAAAAGATGCCAGTATTTAATACTAAAACTTCTGCAAGAAAGGGATCATTTTCAATAAATTTCCTCATTTAAATTCTGAACCCCTCTGAAGTCGTGAAAACTCACTTTTCCAAAACAAAATGTTAGTATTTTGGTTTGAAATGTAACTTTTTTAGATTTAATAATTTCTACTAAAAACAATTACAGAAAAATATTATAATCCAAAGGAAACATTTCAACCAACCCACACTGAAAGTTGTTTAGATTTGTTGGGGGGGTTGTTTTGTTTTATTTTTTCAGGTTTTGACTTTTCATCACAATCTGGGCTGGGAAAAGCTTTTCAAATCCCAAATTCTTGCACTATGGTAAGAGAACGTCCTAACCTAGTTATAACATAACCAGAGAATTAGCATGTTCTAACACAAACCTCTGAGATGGTCAATTTGCCTGTATAGATAGGCCCTAAAGCAAAGGGAGTGGTCAGAGATATTTGGCTTTGATGAGGGAAGTTGAAATTGGATAAGTGGGGAAAGACAGCTTTAAAAGGTGACTGAAATTCCTTAGCCCCCTTCTGTTCTCCCACTGAAGAAATGAATAATAGTTTACAGTGTTTGCTGAGTTGATCTAATCTCTTGTCCATGCCCAGATATCTTCCTCTTTCTATTAAGAATCTACTATCTAATTATACTTGTGTTATATAAGAATCTAACCCCTTTAAAATGGACTAATCACAACTGACCAAAAGTAGGAAAAATCTTGGATGTTCCATCACAAAACCAATTTAAAATCTGCCAGCATGTTATGCAACCTGAACACATTATACCTATGAATTCACTTGCACTTTCCCCCTGCCCCTCATCCACCACTACAGAAATATCTAAACACATTGTGAGACATGGCGACATCTGCCCTGGATATTTACATTGTCACCATCTTCCCATAAAGGATGAGAAATTGTCTGAAGATACCGTTTTATGGGCTAAGTATAGGCTGTGATTTTGTGTAAAAACCACTGAATATTCTTCTGCCCGTGCCCAGCTGAACTCAGTAGTGGAACTCACGTTGACGTACGTGAGGAGCCAAACCAACATGAACTAGAAACTTTTGACACCGCAAAAACTGGAATGGATTAATGCTTGTACAGTATATTTAATTTAAATACTGGCTGCAAAGGCAGACTGCCGTTGATCTGGAGAGAAACATAATGTAAATTTGCTCTCTGCAGAGATTGTCTTACTCACCCTGAAGGAAACTGGGTGTTTCTTTTTTGCAGGAATGCATATGTACAAGCCAAGCGAGGTTTCACTTGTGTGCTGAGAGAGCTGTTCAAGCACGTCTCTCTTCACTTTACTCCTCAGCTACCCCCCGCAGAACAGTTCTGATCCCGGGGCTGCCAACCTCCCTCAACCCAGTCTGGAGCAAAAAGGAATCAAAGTGAGGGCGATCACTGGAGCAAACTGACCCCTGAAAAAAGATCTGAACCATGAGGCCCTGGGTTGGTGCAACTCTGAACTGGGGAGTTTGTGGCTTTGATTGTTAGATGTGCTGTTCCGGATTATGGCGGAGGCTGAGAGCCAGTTCAAGGACTGCGGTTCTATCAGGGGCCGCAACGGACCTGAGAGCAGAGATGCAACCCGGTGCTGAAGGAGGAACCTCCTCAGAGGACAGCATGTTTGCAGGCTGCAAACCCTCAAACACACCTGCCTACCCGCATCCCTGTCCTGATCTGCCCACATGGGCACAGCGCCCCACCAGCTCCAAGGTCTCCTGCAGGCCCCCCGGCACACAGCGCACTGCCCACCTCAGGAAGCCCTACGAGAAGGCCCTGGCAGAGGTAGTGAGCGAGCGGGAGAGCTCACACTCCTCCAGGTACCCTGGGGCGGGTGATGTGATATGAATCCCCCCTCGCCCTAACGTGGCCATTCATCTCCCGCTAGTCCAGATTCCTCTCCCATACGCATGTAACATGCGCCCTAGCCCACCTTCCTCCCCTTACCCGAGCGTATGCACACACACACACACACACGCACACAGAGGCACACACATATACATGCACACATATACACACACACCTATGTGCACAAACACACGCACCCAGGCACACAGATACATGCGCACATGTACACACACCCAGGCACACACCTATATATGTGCGCATGTGCACACATATGTAATACACGTGTGCACGCACATGTACGTGCACAAACACCCAGACAGGCACACATATAGACATGCACACGCACAGGCACACGCACACACCTATACATGCGCGCGTGTGCACACACATATATACACACATACATACAAACACAGGCACACATATACACGCACACATGTACACACACCCTGGCACGCACACATACATGCACGCGTGTGCACATATATAATACCCGCGCGCGCACATGTACGTGCACAAACACACACACACACACACACAGGCACACGTATACACGCGCACACGCGCGCTCCGCACCCCGGTCCCGCGCCCCCGCGGCCCCTCACCTGCCCGGGCGCTGCGCG